CTGGCTCTACGGTCGTTGTGCGGAGTAACTGTTCATTGCTTAGTGAATTAGGGGTCTGCTTTCACCTGCTGGCTCTGCTTCTGATTGTATATGCTAAAGAAATATATATATATTTTTTTTTTATTCAAAATGTGTTTGTTGGGATGGTTGCCCACTCACCTTGATTCAGATGGTTTAGTGCTGCTTCCTTCCGAAGGAGCATCCTCTGTCAGCCTTGCTGTTCCTCCTGGAGGCCGACAGGACAGTGGAGCAGCCAACACATGAAACTACTGTCTGTGCAGGAATGACAGCGCTGGTGATTTTATAGCATCCTGGGCATTTCACAGTCATGAAGTAGGGACCAGGGCTCTGCACTAGGTGCTTCCTGTGTTTCCTCTTCTCTTCTGGGGAGGGAAGAAGGAAGTCCTTAGTGAGCAGCATGTTGTCATGGGGAGGTTTTAATTACAAGAAAGGTGCTAAAGAAATTATTAACATGAGCCCCAAGAGGGTATAGATGGGACTTTCCTCACTGTGGTCATGGTGGGGGATTAGCCTGAGCCAAAGGAGAGGTCAAAGGGTGATGCTTACCATGGTGTCTGTGTCACAGTTACAAGGAAAAGAGAGTGCCTTGGGAATGGTGTAACAGTACTGAAAGGAAAATTTGAAAAGCTGGATAAACAAAAATATGAGGTCTGTCCAGAAAGTATCCAGCCATGTACTATGAAAAATAGTGACGTTTATTGAAGAAGATATGAGAGATAGTGTACATAGGACAATAACACTTCAGTCCCCTTCAAAGTAGGCACCTTGGGACCTCACACACTTATTGCAATAGGCATCAGCTGCCCTGTCGTATTTTTCTGAATCTGATCAAAGGTCTGAAACCTCTTCCCTTTCAAAGGGATTTTAGTTTTGGGAAAAACCAGAAGTCTCAGGGCGCCAAATCTGGGCTGTAGTGGGGCTGAGTCACCTGGGTGATTTGATGTTTCACAAAAAAACTGCATGAGATGTGATGTATGAGCGGGCGCATTGTTGTGATGAAGCTGCCAGTCACCAGTTGCCCACAGCTGCAGCCTTCTGAATCATCTGGCTAGTTTCCGCCGAGGAACATTCAAGCTTAACACAAAATTTGATGCAGATTCATTTCTCTACTTGCTCAGTCATTTTGAATGTGAGGGCTACACAGTACACATGCTCACTCAACAGTGTCTACCGCCCCCATTGACTAGTACGGTGAAGTCGTCATTGTTCACGTCTGCACATTCCAGTTCACTCTCCTTGGCTGCTTGATTACATTGATGTTGCTCAAATAGTTCTTGTTATATTAACAATGGTTGAACTTTTTCCAGACAGACCTCATAATACCATGTTGACCAAGTCCACAGAACAAAATATATTTTGTTAAGACTACTGATGGAGAAAAGGATACCCGGTCAAGATGAGGATAGTTGCCTAATGATTAGGGAAGGTAGGAGGGAATGAGAAGAGGGAAATGAAAGCAACAGCAGATACTAAAAGTCAGGGTAGTGGTTATTTCTGGAGCAGAGGTAGGTGGGTTACAATTGGGGGAATAGGTGGCAGGGAGAGCAGTGTTTGGTAGCTTGATCTAGTTAATGGATTGTGGGTGTTTGTGTTAAAAGTTCTCATTAAGTGATATGTTCATATTGTATGCACTTGTTTATATTAGGGTTTCTCAACTTGGCCGTATATACATTTTGGGCTGGGTAATTCTTTGTTATTGTGGCCGTCCTCTGCATTTTAGGGTGTATAGCAAACATCCAGGCCTCTGTCCGCCAAAATGTTAGGGGGAAATGCTGACTCTAAATCCTTGTGGTCTGTCCTTTTCTTTCAGGTTCCCTGGCTTCAAGGAGGTCCGGCTGGTCCCAGGGCGGCACGACATCGCCTTTGTGGAGTTTGACAATGAGGTTCAGGCAGGGGCCGCTCGGGACGCCCTACAGGGCTTCAAGATCACCCAGAACAATGCCATGAAGATCTCCTTTGCCAAGAAGTAGTGCCTTTTCCCCATGCCTGCCCCTACCCTCTGTTTGGGGCCCCCCCTCTTTCCCATTGCGCGGCCCCCTGAAGGTAAGTCCCTCTTTGGGGCCTTCTTGGAGCCGTATTTGTGAGTGAGTGGTCACACAGCATTGTACCCAGAGTCTGTCCCCAGACATTGCACCTGGTGCTGTTAGGTTGGAATTAAAGTGTTTTTTTGATGTTTGATTTTTCTATAACCATTTATTGTTTTTATTTTCTTGTCCTCTGTGGTTCTCTTTTCTGCATATCAGAATATCCTGAATTTTTTAACCTTTCAACCTTGGGAAAACAATGTGTAGTAATATTGTCCAAGCTGAAGTCACCTTTACTACTTTGGCAGATTTCTATTTTCTCTCAATCAGCAATTAGTGTAGTAAAGTGAAACCCGGGCTGTCTTGTACAGTTGGGCAGGTTCTCTGTTGCACAAGGATACCACCTTGAGTGGCACACCATTCACTTAGTAGACTTGTATGCTTATTCCAATAATTTTCTAACATGATAGAATTCTAAGGAAGAGGTTTCTCATTACTTTTTTCTAATCTTCACAAAAGCGCCTTCTGTTACAGCAACAGTCCCATAGCAACCATTCCAGGTAATTCAGGGAGAAAGAAGGGAATTGGGTGCTTATGAAATCGTTGGAAGGATAGTAGGAATGGCAGTCTGGATTTGAGAAGTTCAGGTTTGTAACCCCTGATTGAGCTTCAATCTAGAGTTCAGGAAGATGCTGCTGCTGCTGCTGCTGCTGCTGCTGCTAACAGGAGGCCCAGAATGACCTGATTGCACATGGGAAGCTACTGACCAGACGCTAGTACAAGGAGTGTGACCACTTCAGTCACAGCTGACCTCTCATTTGCCTGCCGCTGCCAGCCAGAGGACCCAAATTCATCCTCAGTGCTGTAGCTACTGGGGAGCCTGGGAAATGTAGTTTTCAGCTAGATAATTGTATTTTCAGCTGAAGCTATGGATAAGGGAAGATGGAATGGGGGACCTTCCTTAGCCATCTGTCACACACCTAATCTGGAGAATTTTATATTACTTAAGACCTTTTCTCATATCCTATAGGGAAAATTAGATTGTTTGCCAGAAGTGGAAAATTAACCACAAAAATAAATACAGTAAGACATAGTGTTACAGACTCTGGATACTTTTTTTCTGCCAAGGCTAAGCCCAAGCCTGTCCCTTCTCTGCTCTTCTATTAAAGAGGAGCATCAGTGAAGTAATGAGACTTGTAGCACCAGATGTAGACTTTTTCCCTATAAGATCTGAAAGACTGGAAGCAGGAAGAGGTTGCCCTTTCCAGTAAAAGGCATGGTGTTACTGCAGATGGCAAGTGGAAACGTCTTGCCCATCACACTTGTTCTGTGGTCAGCAGATCTTGGTCTCTGCTGTCTGCATAGGGGACTCCCTAGTTGTTCCCCTACCCACTCGGAGTCATTTTCTTTCATGTGTAAAGAAAAACCTGTGTTAATACTACGGTATTGTTGGTACTGTCACTCCTAGCATATACCCCCACTGCCAGGCACTTAGCAGGCACTCAGTAAATTCAGCAGATACTTGCTAAGTACCTGTTAACCTGCTAAATACTGTTCTTGCATAGGATATACAGTGGTGAATAGACAAGCTAATTTCAAATACTGTGTTCTGATACAAACAAAAGTGATCCTGTGGAATGATGAAAGGGTAAGGCTGGGGAACAGTGACTAGGTGACCCAGGAAGGCCCTCTGGAGGAGTCGAAATTTGAATAGAGCTGTTTAACGTTCTCATGGTACTTGGTGCTGGGTGTTGGGTATGTAGAGATGGCTTACATGCTCCTGATGAACTCTTCCCCACCCCAAACCTGTGTGTGTGCATCCTCTTCCCCACCTAAAAAAATATTGGACTTGCCGTCCCAGAGGCAAGAATGCCTGGGGAAAGAGGCGAATGCTCAGGAGAAGGATCTCGGCACAGGGCTCCCTCTTGGAAGCAGTTTTACAGGTGAGACTTGAATGCAAATCCTCCAATTACTCCTTCCAACCTTTGGCAACTGACCTCCAAGCTCAGTGTGGGCCTGGAACCAAATCTAGCTGCCCACTTCTGGCACAACTTCGTTAAGGCTCTGCTTCCATTTCCACAAAAAATGAGGTTATAATAGCCCCTCTTGAGGTGATGCAGAGTATTCATTTGAATTAATAAAAATACATAATAAAAATGATTACTGCTTTGTAAGTAACTATTAGCTTTTATTATCCCTATTTTTTAAAAAGATTTTATATATTTTTAGAGAGGGGAAGGGAGGGAGAAAGGGAGAGAAACATCAATGTGTGGTTGCCTCTCGCACGCCCTCCCCCTTCCCCCCGGGGACCCAGCCCACAACCCAGGCATGTCCCCTGACCAGGGCTCGAACCAGCAATCCTTTGATTTGCAGGCTAGCACTCAAGCCACTGAGCCACACCAGCTGGTGCTATTATCCCTATTTTACAGATGAGAAAGGTGAGGCTCCATGAGGAGACTATAGCTTAGCCCTGTACTTAGTCAGGAGGTGACTGGTGAGGATAAAATGGTCATGGCAGGATATTACCTAGCTCGAGGTCCAACCTATGATATTCACTCAGTACTTGAGAGCTCGGACTATTCCTGGCATTCAAAGGGCTCCTTGTTTTGTCCCTCAGCATAGGAAATACCGAGCCAGGTACCCAAGAAGATGGAATTGAGTAACTCAGCCTGCCCGTCTGGGCGCCTCTACTTGTTGAGGGGGTAGCTGTCGCTTGGAGTGGCCTGAGCAGCTTTTGGTCTATTGGGGCATTTCCTTGGGTGGGCAGACCTCACCCTGTCCTTGAAATGGTTCTGGCTGGGAAGCAGCCTCTACGTGGTGTGGGTAAAATATGGGACTGGTTTAGGGCGGGGAGAAGACTGAGAACACAGGTTTCCTTGTACTGCCAGAGAGGGGGAGGGCAGGAGGAAATTGGAGACCCCATTCCTGCCTTAGCCACTCTCCTGCTCATCGTCCATGATGACTTGGTTCAGGGTGTTCCTTGGCGTTGTCTTGCTGTCTGCCTCACCAGGGCCTACTATTGGGGGCCGCCCCATGCCCAAGCTGGCTGACCGGAAGCTGTGTGCTGATGAGGAATGCAGCCGTAAGAGTTGCGGGGGAGGGAACGGGTGGGGGGTGCTTGGCTTGCCATCCTGTGTGGAGGATGCTGTCATTCCCGTCTTCCTTCCCCAGACCCCATCTCCATGGCTGTGGCCCTTCAGGACTATGTGGCCCCTGACTGCCGTTTCCTGACCATACATAGGGGCCAAGTTGTGTATGTCTTCTCCAAGCTGAAGGGCCGTGGCCGGCTCTTCTGGGGAGGCAGTGTGAGTCTTGGGAGAATGGAAGAGGAAGGGGTATGGGGCGAGGGTGGGAGTACATCCTCATTTTCCACCTAAAGGGAAAATTAGAGGGGGTGAACTGAAACAGTTTGGGGGGCTATTGTGACCTATTTTTACTTTGTTTAGCAATAATTATAGGGCACCCTCTATGGTGCCAAGTTCTCTTCTAGACACTGAAGATACAATGTCGAATAAACCCTTTTTATTCTAATGGAAGAAGACAAATCATCAAAGATATCAGCAAATGTGCTGCTTTGAAAAATAATGTAGTGTGACTGGGGGGACTACATCAAGTTGTCAGGGAGGCCTTGGAACAAGTAATGTTAAGTTGAAATCTAATTGACAAGGATGGAGTCAGCCTTGTGGAGATCAGGGAGAAGAGCTAGTGTAAAGGTCTAAAGCAGCCAGGAGCTTGCTATCTTCCCAGACCCCGGCTTTTAACCCTTTTCCCCTAGGTTCAGGGAGATTACTATGGAGACCTGGCTGCTCGCCTGGGCTTTTTCCCCAGTAGCATTGTACGGGAGGACCAGATCCTGAAACCTGGCAAAATCGATGTGAAGACTGATGTGAGTTTGTTGGGGGCTGGCCGGGATCTGGAGGGAGGACCGTTGGGTTTGATGATGGGCAAAGAGGTTCCTACCCTTGGCTCCCTGGCAGCCTAGCTATGTTCCTTGGGACAAGTCCTCTGCCTCAGTTTTCTCATCTGTAAAATGAGGCGTGATTTCAAAGTTTTGTTGCAGTTGAGAGGTGCAAGATTAGAGGGTTCAGGGCTACTTTGCATAGCATTTATGTGGCCAGACCTGGCCCCTGCAGCTGCAGTCTTTTGTCGTGTGACCGCTGGTTTTGTCCCCACTGTTTTCCCTTTCTCTTTTCCAGAAATGGGATTTCTACTGTCAGTGAGCTCAGCCTAATGCTGTCCCTGCTGTATTTTTCTCCCGGCTTTATACAAATATATCAGCCAAATGCAAACTGCAAGTCTCTGTGGTCTTTGTGGTGAGGATCTATAAAGGAAGTGGGTTCCCGTTCCTGAAACTAGCCAATCAACCCACAGTCGGCAGTAACGTCAGTGGTTGCTAGGCAGAATTTCACTGACTAAAAGCCCTTTGCTCTAACCTGGGTTCCCGAGGTGGGCTCCTAAATTTAGATATCGCCCACGAGCCAATGGAAAGACAATATTCTGAACAGCACAATAGGAGATTGCGATGTCCAGAAGACCAAAAGAAGAGAGTGGAGCTATTCGGAATGAGCCAGCTGGATCATGAGGAAGACAAACTACAGAGCAGAAATTTTCTTGGAAAATTATCTGCAAAGGGAGGTGGGAGGTTGTTAACCTAAAGTGTCAGATATCGCACTCGCTAGGCTCTTCATCAATTCTGCTCATGCCCCTTTTTTCGCACCCATGGCCCTACCCCCAAGTCCGCTACTACCCAATGCGGAGTGTCCACTCTGTCCCCGGATTACTGACCAAATCCGTTTCTGTGCTCCGCTAAGCGTCTCTGCACCGCCCCTTTCCACTTGCTCCGCCAATCGCTCAGGTTGGTCCGGCTCGGCCTCACTGCCAATCCGTGCCTTTTGTCCCGCCCCCTGGCCACTGAGTCAGCCAATCCCTGCCTTTGGGAAGTGTGGCCGGGTATCCCTCAGCCCTAGCGGGTCGCGCCGGGGGCGGGTGGAGGCGGAAGTGGCGGCACGCGGCCCAGGAGTAGGAAGGAGCCGGGGCTGCAGCCGGAGTGGAGCGGCTGCCAGCCGAGGAGCAGGCGCTGCCGCGGCGCCATATTGCGGCCCTTAGCGGCCGCGACCGAGTCATGGCCGAGACCTACGGTGAGGGTGGTGGGCCGAGGCTAGGGTGCGGGGTCTGGTGCCTGGGCCCCGGAGGGATGCGGCCTGTGGAAATGGGGCGGGGCTTTATGCCAGGGGGCGGGGTCTGGTATTATGGGGTAGGGCCTGGTGGATGCTGGGAGGTGCTTCGTGGGTCCGATGGTGAACTTAATCGATTTTGGCGGAGACTGAGGGTCCCGTTGTGGGTTTAATAGTTTGGGGCGGGATTTAAGGGAGTCAGTCATGATGGATCAGGGTAGGCATTGAGGGAGAGGGTGGGCCCTAATATGTCGGGGCGGAGCCTCTGTGGATTGGGCGGGGCTGACTGTGAATGGCAGGACTCGAATTTGATGGCCTGAGGGATGCCTGAAGGGATCCTCTGGACCCTGGGACTACTCTGGTTTGAGAGGTCTTGGAATAGGGTTGGAGATTATCAATCCTTGAGTTAGAGGGTGGGACTAATGGCAAGGGGTGGGGCTTAATCTTGAGACTAGAAACAGGACCTTGGACCGAGCTAGGGGAAGTAGGGATTTAGAATTGGGAAATCATGGTGGATGGATAGGAGGTGGGAGGACAGGATGCAGTAGAAAAAGCACTGGTTTAGCCGTCAGAGGGAGCTGCATTCATTCAAAAAATAGAGAAAAACATTGAGAACAAGAGCAAAGACCTTGAGGTGAGAACTAGCTTGTCATCTTCAGGGAGCAGACTGAAAGCCAGAGACTAGAGTGGAGTAAATGAGTCAGAGAGTGGTAGGATGTGAAGTCGTAAGGGGCAAGGGCAAAACTGTAGTCCTTGAAAGCTAAGATCTTGGACTTTGGAGCCACCTGGCCTGGGTTTGAATCCCAGCTCTGCCTAGCTGTGAGGCCTTGGACAAGTCAGTTAACTTTTCTGGCTTCAGTTTCCTCATCTGGGAAATGGGGATAATTATTAGTACATCCCCCTCATAGAGTTTTCCTGAGGATTAAGTGAGCTATTGATGTAGGTAAAGAAGTTTAGAACTATGGCTGGTAAATGGTAAACATTATATAAGGATTATCTGTTACTGTTCGTTACCCACTGCCTTGTTTCTGCCTGTGTCTGTTTCTAACCCTGTAACTCTGATGGCCTCTTGATTTCCATATTTTCTCTTGTATCTTTCTCTTCGTCTGGGTTTTCCTGACTTTGGCTTCATTTGCTCAGACTTCCTCTTCAAGTTCCTGGTGATCGGCAGTGCAGGAACTGGCAAATCATGTCTTCTTCATCAGTTCATTGAGAATAAATGTGAGTGTCTGGGAGTGGTCCCAGGAGCACTGGAGAGTGGGCAGGGGCATGATGTGGGCAAGTGGGCAGCAGTTGGGTGGGCAGAGGCAGGCCTGGCTGTAGGTACAACTCCAGTGCTGGCTGCCTGGTCCTTGTGGTGTATGTTCTTTGCTAGGTCCTCCTTGAACCTCAGTCGCCCCAGCAATGAGAATGGGATTGTATGTGTTGAGGAAGCCTTGGAGGACAGGGAATCCTCTGAGCCTCTGTACTGCCTCTTTTTGCTCTCCCACTCCCAGTCAAACAGGACTCCAACCACACGATCGGTGTGGAATTCGGATCTCGGGTAGTCAATGTGGGAGGGAAGACCGTGAAACTACAGATTTGGGACACGGCTGGCCAGGAACGGTTTCGGTAAGTGGGCTGGGCTTTCAGGGGGAGAGAGGGCAGAGGTGAAGGAGGAAAGTGGAGAGAAAATGGGAGAGAGAGGTGTGTAGAGACACTTAACAGACAGAACAGTAGGAGCAAGGACACACGGAGAGCAGACAAGGCAGAGGGAGAGACACAGAAACTGAATAGCAGGTACTTAAACCTGTGACAGAAGGAGTCCTGGAGAGAGGATGACAGAGACAAAGAGAAAGAGACTGAGAAAGAAGCATAATGAAGAGTGAGAGAGCCAGGGAGAGACCAACAGGCCATAGAGAGACTATGGTAGTTAGACCTGCATGGCTGGAGGGATGGAGGGAGACTTGTGCCCAGGGAGAGACTATGTCTGAAGAGAAAGACAAGCTTGGGGTGGGTATGAGAATGTAGAGATGGAAAGAGAGTGACTAAAACAGAAAGAGAAAGGGACATCTGAAAGAGAAGGAGAGAGAAAGAGGCAGAGACTGAGAGAGAAAAAGATAAAAGGTAGATAAGGAAACACAGAGAGAACAGAGACAGGCAGGGAGACGGGAACAGATGTAGCAGAGAGATAGAGAAATCTTTCTGTGTTGGTGAGTGGAGAGAGAAATGAGTCGGCCTCAATGCACAGAATGTCTTCAGGAAATGTCTGAGGAAAAGGTGATAGACACATAGAAACCCTGAGTCTGAGAAATAGAAAAGAATAAGGGAATATAATCCATGAAGAAGAGCTGCTAAGCTAATAGTCATGTGTTAGTTCACTGTGTGAGGTGCATAGATGCCAAAGACAGAGGGCAAAGAAAGGGCAGGTGTTCGACACAAGCTGGGTTTGCAGTAAGTGTTCGCTAAATGCTTGTGGAATGATTGCATAAGTTCCAGAGGAACCCAGGCTGGTAACATGGGGAGATGCAAACAGCTGGCTACACTGCAACTAGGCCACACGACAGGAAAGGGACAAGCAGGTGTAGTTGCATAGCATCTGCCAGGACTGGGCAAAGGGGTGATGACGAAAAATGTTGAATGAATGAATGAATGAATGAATGAGAAAGCAAAAGTGAGCATGAGAGAGCCAGAGTCAGACAAAGAAATAGAGATTTAAAGACACATACACATAAGGGAGACAGAGAGAAAGACACAGACCAATGAAGAAATACAGAAAGACAGGTACACAGAGAGAATCAAAGGCAGGGAGAGACTCAGAGGCAGGCAGATAGGGAAATAAGTGAGATAGAGATCGGGGGAGTCAGAGACTGCAAGACAGAGAGGCACTGTAGTGAAATCAGTCCATGCCTGGTTTTGGGGGATGATGGGCCAGCAGTGAAGGGGGGCCTTCGAACCACCAGTCTCTCTCCGCAGAGGGGGGCAGTCTTGGGACAGACCCCAGCCTCGAGGGTGACTGGGTCCTCCTGGCCCCACAGGTCAGTGACACGGAGTTACTACCGAGGGGCAGCTGGAGCCCTGCTGGTGTATGACATTACCAGGTGGGTGTATGCAATGGGTGGGGTGGGGCCAGGGTGGCCCCCCTCCTGTGCCCACCTCCCTCTTCTTTCCTTCTCCATAGCCGGGAGACTTATAACTCACTGGCTGCCTGGCTAACTGATGCCCGCACACTGGCTAGCCCCAACATCGTGGTCATTCTTTGTGGCAACAAGAAGGACCTGGACCCTGAGCGTGAGGTCACTTTCCTGGAGGCCTCCCGCTTTGCTCAAGAGAATGGTGAGAGCCATATGACGAATTGGTGGTGACGGGGGGCAATCCACTGGGGCCATGGGCCTCCTGGCTCTCTACAGCTGTGCCCAGCAGGGGAATGTGAAGGTTTAGAGGTGTGGGTTCAAATCTGAGTGTTGCCACGTATGCACCATGTGACTGCTCTGGTCCTCAGTTTCCTCATCTAGAAAGGGAGGCTCACAATGTTTCCCTCATTCTGCATGATGGTTAGGGGACATGGTTTGTGGAAAGCCTTTAGCATCACCTGGATGGAGCAGGTATTTGATAATGATGGCTGCTAAGAAGGTTTCAACCACTGTGGCAAGGCGCAGGGTATTGGTGGTAAGGTAGAGACTGCAAACTCCAATAGCCCTAAGGGACAGGCACATTTGTTTTTGTTTTTTAAAAATTTTATTTATTTTACTTTTAGAGAGAGGGGCAGGGAGGGACAAGGAGAGTGAAACATCAATGTGCGGTTGCCTCTCACGTGCCCCCTGCTGGGGACCTGGTCCGCAACCCAGGCATGTGCCCTGACTGGGAATTGAACTGGCGACCCTTTGATTCGCAGGCCAGTGCTCAATCCACTGAGCCACACCAGCCAGGGGGACAGGCATGTTTTGTGAATAAAGGAGAGAGGGCAGGGTTGACCCCACGTTTGCAGGCACTGGCATTAGAGGAGTGGACAAGACTCACAGTCATGTTAAGAGATATACATGTACAAACCCATTTGAAAACGTCGTGTTGGCCAAATGTCTGCAGGCATAGCATCTGTCCACGTTCTTATAGTTTGTAACCTCCAGGTGTAGAGGAGGTTTTGGCCTCAGAAAGATGTAGGTTTTGTCCTGGCTGGTGTGGCTCAGTGGATTGAGTGCTGGACTGCAAAGGGTCACTGGTTTGATTCCCAGTCAGGGCACATGCCTGGGTTGTGGACCAGATCCCCAGTGGGGGGCGTGTGAGAGGC